TAATAAACCCAAAAAGGTAACATTCTAACAAGTCAGCAAAGGACATCAGTGGGCACTTTAGACATCCCAGTTCTACCATTTATTAACCATGTACTTTGGGGGCAAGGGAATTGCCAAAATCTATTTCCTCAAATGTCAAATTAGAATAATTCCACATTTCATCAAATCCGAGGTGTTACTGATTGTAAAGCCACCAGATCATGAATGAAACTATGAATTGCCAGGAATTGTAAAACCCCTCCCAATTTCAATGATGCTAAAATGTGGGGGGAAGGCAGAAATGCACCCATAGATTTAATGAAGTGTAGTCTTGATTGTCTCACAGGCTTGTTTTGTGGGTTCAACAAGATGAACACATATCAAGAACTTCCAAGTATTTGCCTCAGTAAACAAATGTTGTTTCTATTTGTAATACATCCCATTCTGAAAACAGAATTATATACCCACACTTACGTGCAGACAAAATAATTTGAAAATATTAATAGTGACATCTCTAGATGACAGAGCCATGGGTGATGGGTGACAAGGTTTCTTTCCTTTTTTTTTTTTTTTTTTTTATAGAGGCATGTTTTTATTTATTTATTTATTATATTTGTTTGTTTTGTTTATACATGCACTGGGTACAGTCAGAAGCGCGGGAGGGTGAGAGAATTCACCAGAGCCAGAGCGGGGAGCAGAGCAGGCAGAAGGGCTGAAGTACACTGCTGAGGGGAGCAGCGGGCGGCAGGAGAGGTCTGCGCACCATGTGGGATCCTCCTCCGGTGGCCGGGGAGCAGCCGGGGATCGAACCGGCGCCGCAGAGGCCGCGGGCAGCTTCGCAACCCAGCGCTCAACCGCTGCGCCACTGGGGAGGCCCTCTTTCCTTTTTTTTTTTGAATTAATTTTTTATACAAGAGCTGGGGTACAGGCCAGAGGCATGGGAGGGTGAGAGGATTCACCAGAGACAGAGCGGGCAACAGAACAGGCAGACGACCGAAATACACTGCTGAGGGGAGCAGCAGGCGAGACAGGAGAGGTCTGCCTCGCCATGTGGGATTCTCGCCGCCGGCCGGCTGGGATCGAACCCACACTGCAGAGGCTGCGTACAGCTTCATAGCGCTGCGCTCAACTGCCTGTGCCACCAGGGAGACCCTCCCTTTTTTTTTTTTTTTTAAAGATTTATTTATGCATACAAGAACTGGGGTGCTGGGTGTGAGAAGATTCACCAGAGACATACTGGGGAGCAGAATAGGTGGATCTATTAACATACACTGCCGAGGGGAGCAGCGGGTGAGACATGTGGGTCTGCTGCACCATGTGGGTTTCTCCCTGGCCGGCTGGGGATCAAACTAGTGCTTCAGAGGCTGCTACTGCTTCATAATGCGGTGCTTAACCCATTGCGCCACCAGGGAGGCCCTCCTTTTTTTTTTTTTTTTAAAGATTCATTCATGCATACAAGAACTGGGTGGGGTACAGGTCAAAGGTGTGGGAGGGTGAGAGGATTCACCAGAGACAGAGCGGGGAGCAGCACAGGCAGACTGACTGAAATACACTGCTGAGGGGAGCAGTGGGCAAGTCAGGAGAGGTCTGCTGCGCCATGTGGGTAGCTCACTGGCCCAGGATCGAACTCGTGCTGCAGAGGCTCCTGATAGCTTCATAGGTTGCGTCTTAACCCAGTGCACCACCAGGGAGGCCTGGGTGACAAGCTTTCTTAATTTTCTCAAGGTATGAAAGTTTTGCAAGACTCCTCTATGATTTTAATCACTACAAAGAGGGCATTTGGATTATTTCTATCTTGGGGAAAAAATACCTAGAGCAACTGTAGGTCATTTGGAAGAGGAGAACAAAGAAATTACTAAAGTGCGTAACCTTATATGTTACTCAGCTTCCCTGCCAAATCACTGGCATGTTCTGTTGATTCTTCTGGGAATCAACAAAGCAAAGGAAATGGACATATCAGATTATATGAGACTGTATGAACAGCAGACGCTCTGGTTTAGGTTCCTGACTGTTTTAGGAAAACTGCTCCACAAAAGTGTTCCCTCCTTTCTCCAAATCTCTACTGTAAATCTTTTATTTTTTTTTTTTTAAGATTTATTTTACAAGCACTGGGTACAGTCAGAAAAGTGGGAGGATAAGAGAATTCACCAAAGCCAAAGAGGGGAACAGTACAGGCAGACTGACGAAATACATTGCTGAGGGGAGCAGCGGGCGCGGCAGGAGAGGTCTGCGCACCATGTGGGACCCTCGCCGGCGGCCGGGGATCGAACCGGCACTGTAGAGGTTGCGGGCAGCTTCACAGCCCAGCGCTCAACCACTGCGCCACCGGGGAGGCCATGTAAATCTTTTAGACAGAATCTTGAAATAGGGCAGTGTCCAGAAAACCAAGAAGCCCTTTCCAAGAACAGAGTGGCAAGCACAACTCACCTCAGCCATGATTTTTGATTCAGGAGCTCTTCTCTCCTCTTCTGGATTCTTAGAGGAAAAAGGTGGAAAAAGAGTTAAGAAACCACGCCCTGGCCACACCAAGCACTAAGAGGCAAGCAAAAGCAGCCTGTAACCCCACTACTGGCTCCCATCATCACAATGCAAAGGGCCAAGATGGAGGGTCCTAGGAGAGGCTCTCAGCCTGGCCTCCTTCCTCCATAAGAACCGACTTTGGCATCTTACTCTGAGCCTGGCTCTGTGGCTCCATTTGGATTCCCTGTCTTCTATTCTGGGGTCATCTCATTGGGCCTGATCTCTGGCAGGCACAGGATGAAAGAAGAGAGAGGTGGAAGTAGGAGGGCTCCCAGCACCAAGCTCTGGAACCCCCCTGGGCAACAGAAACAGCCCCGAGAAGGCCATTCACAGAACTGGACAGCCTGTGCAGGTGGCTGTGTCAGCTGCCTCTGGACTCCGGCACACAATGGTAGTTACAGAGGCTGGAAACTTTTGTGGTCTGGTTTTGCTGGGCTCAGAAATGGGGAGAGGTTCAGTTGGACCAGTTGGTAAGCAGCACCAAGTCCAGGGCAGTTATAGAGCCATAATCAGGGCATTCAGGAGGCAACAAATTATGGATGGAGTAAAGGGGGATAATGAGAGTAGAACTGACACTGTGCAGAGGCACTGGTGACAGCTCCACAGAGCTCCACCAGTCTGCCCTCCAAAAACATACACTCTGGCCATTGATCCTGCAAGGCCCTCCCTCTGCTGCCCTGCTGGATGAACTCCTAGGCATCCCTCAAAACCCAGTTCCTACATTACCCATTCTAGGTATCCCGGGAAAGAGCACTCTTCCCTTGAGCAGCCCTCTGTTAACCCTCCAATGGGAACTCCTGAGGGCAGCCCTGGAAAGGGGACCCATCCTCTGGCAGACCTATCAGGAATGTACCAAGGGGGTGCCCTCCTCATTTCTCTGAAAGGCAAAGACAGTGACACCACTCTTGAAGATGTCACACACAGAGCCACAGAGGGTGTAGCTTAGATAGGGCACTCAAACACAGCCTGGCAGGCACAGATCGCACAGCATTAGCCATCTGGCCCACAATCTGCGACCTGAGAGCATCGCGCAGACTTTCGCTTAGGCAAGAGGCCAAACAGCTGCCAGGCTCTTGGGCTCCAAAAACCCCCTCCAGTGCCAGTGGGAAACCACTTGCACCAGCTGCTGGCACAAGGCCACCACCTGCCACCGGGGGCGTGAGGACAAGACACTTCCACACCCCCATCCTTTATTTTTGTTTTTTTAAGATTAATTTATATATGCATACAAGAACGGGGTACAGGCCAGAGGTGAGTATGTGTGTGTGTGCGGGGGTGGGAAGGGGGTGAGAGGATTCACCAGAGACAGAGTGGGGAGCAGAACAGGTAGACTGACCAAGTTACACTGCTGAGGGGAACCGCGGGCGAGACCAGAGAGGTCTGCCGCGCCATGTGGGTAGCCCCTGGCTGGGACTCGCACTCTTGCTGCGGCGGCTGCTGACAGCTTCACAGGTTGCATCTTAACCCCTTGCGCCACCAGGGAGCACCCACCCTTTACTTTTGGCTCGCAGGCACCCGTATTTGAAACTCCAGCGAGACCAGCCCCGCAACGGGACAGCCCACTGTCCACGTCTCCCTGGCCAGCGTGTCTATTCGAATCCGCCCAACCCGGTGAGCTAGGCCCGCCGGGATCGCGCCCAACTCCCGCCAACTCACCTTGGGGCAGCCGACTCCGGCCGGAAGCGGGAGGGCCGCGGGAAGGCAGCCCCGGGACTGCGCCCGCCAACGCCCCCAAGTCACTGCGCGCAGAGTCGGGGCGCTGCAAGGCTCCGGTCCGGTCCGGTCCAGTCCAAGCCGCGAAGCCCGGGAGGGGCGAGCCCACCGGCCAGGCGGCGTAAGTTCCGCGGCGGAAAGGACCGAGGGGATCCCAGCCCCGGGTCGGGGTCCGGGAGTGCCCCAACTTAGCCCGGCTTCAGCCGCCCCCGCCCCCAGGGCCTCGGGAGCAAGTCGCGGGCCAGGAAGCGCCAGGCGGTCCAGCCTCGAGGGGCGGGGGCAGGAGGGGGCGACCCCGGGCCACCCCACGAGCGAGGACTTCTCCTCCAGGACCGGGGCGTTTCAGCCCGTGGCGCCCCACGATCCCGGCTGAGCTGGACTCATCCTAACTTCAGCTGGGAGTTCATGCCCCAGCCGCCCACGCGCCCGGGAAGCGCCGCCCGCCATGCCCGGCGGCGGGGGACCTCCAGGCGCTGCTCCTGCAGCGGGACCACGTGGGCAGCGGCGGGGCGGGGCCGCCCTGGAGGCTTCTGGGAAATGTAGTCCTGCCTGGCGCGGGGCTGAGCCGGCGGAGGTCTGTTTGGCTGAGGATGGGGGAGTCTGAGAATGAGCTGGGAAGTTGAAGGACAACCTTGCCTGGGGGACTGGATTATGGGATAACAACCTACTGGTAGTGTAGAAATTCTGGCCTTTTACCCGGGCAGAGGAAGAACAAGCAGTACTTCAGGAATGGTGAGGTCGGGAAAAACTTTATTATTCATGTATGAGGTCCCAGACCTGGGTAGCACCATAGGGTCTGAGCACCGTTTTAAAGACAAAGAGTTCTTTTTTTTTTTTTTTTAATTTATTTATGCATACAAGAGCTGGGGTACAGGCCAGAGAGGGGGTGTGGTGTGGTGAGAGGAATCACCAGACACAGAGCGGGGAACAGAACAGGCAGACTGACTGAAATACACTGCTGAGGGGAGCAGCGGGCGAGACAGGAGAGGTCTGCTGCGCCATGTGGGTAGCTCCCTGGCCAGGGATCAAACTCATGCTGTAGAGGCTGCGGATAGCTTCATAGTGCTGTGCTGAACCCCTTGGGCCACCAGGGAGGCCCATCTGAAGCCTCTGTTTATATCCCCCTGCAGGGTACGCAACTTTCAAACCTGATTGGTCCATTTTCCAAACCAGCTGTCTCCAAGACTTGATTGGTGCCAGTGGGAGCTTGGACCTGACCTGTTTTCAAAACGGAATTCAAAAACGAATTCCTGGTAATGAGTCCAGTCTGGCGTGCATGTCTGCGCTGGAGCTAAGCAGGTAAGCCCTTCTGTGTCTGATGGTGAAGTCCAGGTTCAAACCTGGACTTGTCTCCAAAACTGCCTTTGTTTTCTTTCTTTGTCTCTTTTAAAAGATTTATTTATTTATGCATACGAGGACTGGTGTACAGGCCAGAGGTGCAGGGGGTGAGAGGATTCGCCATAGAGAGTGGGGAGTAGAACAGGCAGACTGACTGAAATAACACCACTGAGGAGAGTAGCGGGAGAGACAGGAGAGGTCCACTGCGCCATGTGGGTCAGCTCCCTGGCCAGATGGGGCTCTAACTCGTGCTGTAGAGACTGCGGACAGCTTCACAGTTCTGAGACTTGATCCTTTGTGCCACCACGGAGGCCCCAGATAACTTCTTTGAGCTTCCCTTCTTCCACCTCTCACATGTGGGCATCAGCCCTGCCCTAGAATAAATCTTACTGACTTTGACTATAAATTTGACCATCTCGTTTGCCACTTTTACTTCATCATTTTAATTTAAGTCAGACTAGTACTGTGCCTCATATTTCAGATCACTCAACTTATTCTCTACCCGCAGTCTGTGTCCCCTTAAGGAATTTCCTAACATAGAGGGAATCATGCTGGCAGGTGCTGGCAAGGCAGACACCACATCACTGAAGTTCTGGGCCAACAGGATGCAGCAAGAAAGTAAAATTTCACAAAGGTTGAGGTTAAATAGATTTAATTTGTATGTGATGCAGGCCTCTCTAAAACTTGCAGAAGTATCATGTTAAAAACAAACAAAAGAAAAAAAGAAAAAACCCAGTCCGTATACAGCCCTCTCTGCCAAACTCTTTAATAGAAACTGTCTTAGGAGCATTTCATAAAGTGGCTGCTCTTGTTCCTCGCAGTGGTTTCATTTAGTTTGAGGAGAAATAGCAGCTGGTTAAATATGAAACATAGTATGTTCTAGAAACAGCTGCTAAAGCTTCCTGGTGACCCAGGGTTCCCATCCAAAGCCTGGTGCAGCTGACGTTCATTCAAAGCAGTCAATCAAAATTGCCACCGTGGCTAATTTACTGTGGTTTGCCAAACTAAGAAAAATCAAGCTACTGAGAATGAATGAACAGTATCAAAAATGAAGAACTTTCATAAATAAATACTTCCTGTAGGAACCAACTAATCCATCCCTGGGAACTTAGCCATGAGAAATGAGAAGAAATCTAAACAAACACGTGTAGACGTTTATTTGTAAGCGTTCCAAATTGGACAAGCCAGGCATTCACAGCAAGTGACAGTAAACAGGCTGTGGTTGACTTTACCAGCAAGGGCAACAAGCTTCTGGAATATACAAAGGCCTGAATCAGTCTCCTAATAACTGAGCAAATGAAGGCGGGTGCCCAAAACATTCTCTGACTCCACTTACATGAAGTTTGAACACCAGAAAAATGAATCTCTGGAGATGGAAGTCGGAAGAGTGGTTATCGTAGAAGTGAAAGGAGCCAGGGGAACTTTCTGGGAGGGGATGGAATTATTATTCTTTTTTAAAAAAATATATTTATTTATTTATTTATTTATACAAGCGCTGGGAACAGTCAGAAACGTGGGAGGGTGAGAGAATTCACTAGAGCCAGAGCAGGGAAAAGAACAGGCAGACTGACGAAACACACTGCTGAGGAGAGCAGCGGGCACAGCAGGAGAGGTCTGTCACACCATGTGGGACCCTCGCAGGCAGCTGGGGATCGAACCGGTGCTGCAGAGGCTGCGGGCAGCTGCACAGACCACCAGGGGAGGCCCTGGAATTATTTTCTCTTGATCTGGGTGGCGGATCCAGTTATGTGTAGTATGCATACCTAAGATTTTTTATACTTCACGCTATGTATGTTTTATCTCACTTCTTTTTTTTCTTTTTCTTTTTTTTCTCTTTCTTTCTTTCTTTCTTTCTTTCTTTCTTTCTTTCTTTCTTTCTTTCTTTCTTTCTTTCTTTCTTTCTTTCTTTCTTTCTTTCTTTCTTTCTTTCTTTCTTTCTTTCTTTCTTTCTTTCTTTCTTTCTTTCTTTCTTCTTTCTTTCTTTCTTTCTCTCACTTCTTAAAAAGGAGATGTGGAAAAGAAACCGTTAGTCAGTATGGAAGTAGGTGGGGGAAGTTTTAGAGAAATGAGTCAGGGAGAGAGACAAGGAAAGAAGTAAGGAGGGGCAAACAACCTGGTACCTAATAGATGAAGCCACACACTGTCGGGTAAGGGAACGTATCAGGCTTTTTATGCCACTAGCCTGTGTGGCTATCACCTGCAGCCATGGTCATGCTAATGCAGAAAGTGCTTGGGAGCATGTGTGAGGGCCCATGGAAAGTGTTGTTTTGGTTTTCTTGAATATTCTTTTGATTTTTTTGTTGTTTTCATCCTTCTTACTTACATTATCCGTCTTGCATGTTGTATACTTTTCCCATTAGTTAATTAATTAGAATGATTATCTATATTAATCAGTTACTTTGAATTTCCTCGTTAATTTCAAAATCTGAGTTGTATATACCTGTGGTTCTGAAGCTTGCTTTGTTTTCAAACTGCTTTTTCTTGCCTTTTAGCATACTTTTAATTGCTTGCTGAAAACTGGACAGGATGTGTGGAGTAATATAAATGGGGGTAAATAGGCCTTTAGCTTGAGATTTTATGTTTGTTTAATGTTTGCTGTAGCTGTATGTGCCAGAGGCTTCAGTGTCCTCGGTGCCCTTGCTTTAAACTTAACTGGGAGTTAGTTTCCCAGTTGTCTGTAGGCTTCCCTAAGATCTTATTAGTCTGTGGTCTTTAGCTCTTTCAGTTGCAACCCACTGTTATTATGCAGGAGCTATTGATGTGGTGGTAAGTGAAGAGAGAGGATGCATTCTATAATCTTATAGTTAACTCTCATCTTTTAGTGGGTCTGAGTCCCCAGGATGTGACCTGCAGAAGTATTTCTCAGCCATTTTTTTCCTTTTACCCTTTGCTGAACAGGAAAACTAGAAGGTGCCAGATATGACTAGATTTCCTCAAGGAGTTAGTATCGGTAACAGCATTTGCCTAGAACAGGCCTTTGTTATTGAGAACACTCTAAATGCCTTCCAAACCAGTTAATTTCTCCTTTTCCCTGACCAAAAAATAAAATGATTTTTCTGAGATCTTCACCTTGAAAACCGGGTGGTATTCCTGGAGGTAAAATCCATGAAATTGCGGGGCACTTAAGGCTAGGCTCCAAGAATTTCATACTTCAGCAGATTATCAAAATTACCGTGTGTCTGTTCCTAATAGTTTTTGGCTCCAGTGCCTTTTTGCTCCAGGTAAGCTGATCTTGGCTGTTTTTTGTTTTTTTTTTAAAGATTTGTTTTATTCATGCATACAAGATCCTGGGTAGAGGCTAGATATGTGGGAGGGTGAGAGGATTCACCAGAGACAGAGTGGGGAACAGAACAGACAGACTGACTGAAATACACTGCTGAGGGGAGCAGTGGGCAAGACAGGAGAGGTCTGTTGCGCCATGTGGGTATCTTGCCTGCTGGCCAGGATTGAACCTGAGCTGCAGATGCTGCGGACAGCTTTGCAGCGCAGCACTGAGCTCAACTGCCTGTGCCACCAGGGAGGCCCCTGATCCTGGCTGTTTTCAATCTACATTTTTCATTCTCCCACAGTTCAGGGTGTGGTTTTCCTGTGACCTCAGTTCTCTGATGGGTTTAAGAAAAACCCAAGATTTTCAGTTTGTTCCTGACAAGACTTCCAAGGTTCTTAACTGTTGATGCTGAAAACAGAAGGCCTGGGTTTTAAAATAGGTATTTAAAATTTAATTTCCAGGGCCTCCCTGGTGAGTGCAGTGCGGTGGGGCTGTCCACAGCCTCTGCAGTGCAGGTTCGATCCTGGCTGGCTGGCAACATGCCCACATGGCACAGCAGACCTCTCCTGTCTCGCCTGCTGGTCCCCTCAGCAGTGCGTTTCAGTCAGTCTGCCAGTTCTGCTCCCCCGCTCTATCTCTGGTGAGTCCTCTCACCCTTCTGCGCATCTGGCCAGTACCTGGGTTCTTGTATAAATGGATAAGTCTTTGGTTAAAAAAAAAAAAAAAAAAGCACACCAAACTCAATACTATCTTTAAAAAAACAATTTGATTTCCAAAAAAGTCATTATTTCATATTCTCACTAACAACGATTATTCATTTACTTGTACCAAATCCGGAGCTGGCCATTATAAATCTTTATATTTTCCCAGCTGGCTCTGCGGCTGTGTCTGACTACGTCCTAGCTAGTAGTATGCAAGTTATGTGTGCAACTTCAAATACCTATCCTTAGAATAACTGAAGTACTTCTTTGTTCCCTCTACCACTTGGCTCCTTGGGGTGTGATTGTGATGGTGTATCATTATGGGCTGTGTGAATAAGGCCACCAAGCTATAAGTGATGTAAGACAGAAAGAGGGTCCATCCCACCTTGTACCTCCTAACTGCAGACCATCAAATATGAGGATAGAAAAATCCATTTTGTCTTGACAGTTATTTTAGGTTCTCTTATAGTCTACTAAATCTACATCTCAAAACTAAATCTGCTTCATCATTAACAATAAATGGACTTGAAATACTTTGAATGAAACCCACTGAATTATATGCCACTGTTTTCCAGTAGTTTCTTGTCTATTAATGCTGTGTCAATTTTTCTATTAGTCCCACTGTCAATATTTATTTCTATTAACATACATTGTAACATTTTCTTTATGGCCGATTCCTATTGGTTTATCAAATCCGCCATCTGGGAACACTTATATTATAAATAGCATGCAAATTTTTCTCCTTATTCCCTTCCACCTCTTTATACCTTGACAGTGAGTTTTTGGAGAGAAGGCCAGAAGTCTAAGTTCAGAATTAGACTTTTAGTGTTGAATGTAATGTAGTATATACAAATGGTGATTTATAATGATGCACACCTTAAATTTATATTATAATGCAATGTGACTTCAATGAAAATGATTTTGAAAAAAGAAAATATTGCAGTCGATTTCTCAGGAAAAGTCTCTCCATGATTCTAAACATTTTACTAATGAGTTATCTATGACTCCAATAAACCTCTATCAAATAATGCAAGACACACATCAATAGTAGGCCATGATGATCTAAAATAGCAAATAAAATAACATTTGATTTGTCACCGCCATCTGATTTTCAAATTTTTAATGGTTACCAATTTCCTTGAACCTAAAACATAATTGGATGAATCTCAACTTCAGAAATCATAAATATAAAATAAAGAATCATGGGATTGGGCCTTCCCGGTGGCGCAGCGGTTGAGCGCTGGGTTGCGAAGCTGCCCGCAGCCTCTGCAGCGCCGGTTCGATCCCCAGCTGCTCCCTGGCCACCAGGTAAGGGTCCCACATGGTGCGCAGACCTCTCCTGCCGCCCGCTGCTCCCCTCAGCAGTGTACTTCGGTCCTTCTGCCTGCTCTGCTTCCCTCTCTGGCTCTGGTGAATTCTCTCACCCTCCCGCGCTTCTGACTGTACCCAGCGCTTGTATGTATAAATAAATCTTTAAAAAAAAAAATTGTGGGATTGATAAAATGTGCTAGTTTCATATTATAAATAGGACTGACACTTCTAAATAAAAATTTTCTGGAAATATTTTTGATAACAGTTCAGCATACCATTATTACTTTTTTTTTCCTTATGGCATAAGCTTTCCCTCCCCCATTCTTAGAAATAACTAGAAAAACATTAAGACATCCATACTACCATTGTATATCATTAACATTTAAGATTTATTTTATATGCTATCAGTCTTTTTTTAAGGCATAAACATTACAAGTAAAGCTAAAAGCCACCTTTGATCAACACCCTCAATTCAATCTCCTGCCAGAAACAACACTAGCAATAATTTGGTATGTATCCTTCAGGTCCACTTTAAATAGTTTTACATTTATTCATATTTCAATAAAAACATAGTTCTGTTCTTTGTGAATTTCATTCCAATTTACACGAATTATAGTTTCACTCCATGTTGTTTATGTGTTACAAAATATGGATCTAGTTCAATACTCTTAAGTGCTGTATACTATTCCATTATTTGAATATATCATACATTTCTTTCATCTATTACCCACCCTTCATTTAGGTTGTTTTTAATTCAGATACAACTATTCCTTATGAGTGTTTGTGAATTTCTTTAGGATGTATCAAAAAATGGAATTGCAGCGTTCTTTTGTCCTTTAAAAAATGCTTCCCTACCTGAGTCATAGACATGTCTTGTAGTCCCTTTCAATAAGTTTCAGAGTTTGACTTTTCACATTCTAGTTTTCAAAGCCTTTGGAATTGTTTCCTTACATGTTGTAACGTTGTAATTGTCCCCCTAACAGGGAGTGAACTATTCCAATTTCTACTGACGATGCTGTCATCTCTCTACATGTCTAATATATACCTAGTTCACATCTATTCATTGGCTTACTTTTAGGTATTCTATTCGGCAAAATCCATTTACATATCTAATAACACACTAACACCACATAGTATTTCATGACCAGAACTTCATAATATGTATAGCATACATCGTATAGCATATGTATAGCTTATGGTAGAAAGTGTCTAGGGTTCGTTTTCAAAACTGCTTCAGCAATCTACAAACTTATTTCACTTGAATTTTAGAAACATTTTGTAAAGATCCTATTGACTGCTTGCTAAATTTTTGGAACTATATAAAGTTTTATAGATTAATTTTGGGAGAACTGACACTTTTATAACAGAGTTTTTCCACCTACATACATGTTATTTGTCCATTTTTTTGAGTCTTATGGCATTCACTAAAGCTTTACAATTTTCCCAGAGTTGATTTTTCTGAATTTGCAACAAGATATTTCAAAGTTAAGTCAATCCTGGTCTGACTTTAAGAGAAGGCCTTCCCTGGGCCTTCCCTGGTGGCGCAGGCAGTTGAGTGCCACACTGTGAAGCTGTCTGCAGCCTCTGCAGCACTGGTTTGATCCCAGCCAGCCGGTGAGGGTCCCACATGGCACGGCAGACCTCTCCTGTCTCACCTGCTGCTCCCCACAGCAGTGTATTTCGTCAGTCTGCCTGTTCTGTTGCCTGCTCTGTCTCTGGTGAATCCTCTCACCCTCCCGCATATCTGGCCTATACCCAGGTTCTTGTATAAATAAATAAATCTTAAAAAAAAAAAAGAGAATACCTTCCCTCATTTAGTACACTCGATGTTTCTCACCTGTATGACCTCTCTTATGTATAGAAAGAGAAGCTCTTTGAGAGAAGGCTTTCCCACACTCATTACATTCAAAAGGCTTCTCACCAGTATGACTTCGCATGTGTATGATGAGTAATGAGCACTGAGAGAAGGCTTTTCCACATTTATTACATTCATAGGGCTTCTCCCCTGTGTGACTTCTCACATGAAGTGTAAGGGATGAGATTCGAGAGAAGGCTTTTCCGCATTCATTGCATTTAAATGGTTTTTCTCCAGTGTGAATTTTTTCGTGCTCAAGGAGATTTTGTCTTTGACTGAAAGCTTTTCCACACTGATTACAATGATAGGGTTTCTCTCCAGTATGAATTTTCTCATGTTCTGTGAGGTTTGATTTCTGACTAAAGGCTTTCCCACATATTGTGCAAGCATAGGGTTTCTCACCAGTGTGGATTCTCTGGTGTCGAATGAGGTTCGACATCTGAATGAAAGCTTTTCCACATTCATTACATTCATAGGGTTTCTCTCCAGTATGAATTTTCTGATGTGTGATGAGGTTTTCTTTCCGGCTGAAGGCTTTTCCACATTCGTTACATTCATAGGGTTTCTCAGCTGTATGGTTTCTCATATGTACAGTAAGGGAAGAGCTCTGAGAAAAGGCTTTCCCACATTCACTACACACATAGGGCTTCTCTCCTGTGTGACTTCTCATATGAATAATAAACACTGAGCATTGGGAGAAGGCTTTTCCACATTTATTACATTTATAGGGTTTTTCCCCTGTGTGACTTCTCATATGTAGAGTGACAGATGACATTCGAGAAAAAGCTCTTCCACATTCATTACACGCATACGGTTTCTCCCCGGTATGAATTTTCTCATGCTCAATAAGATTTTGCTTCTGGCTGAAGGATTTTCCACATTCCTTACATTCATAGGGTTTTTCGCCAGTATGAATTCTTTCATGTTCAATGAGATTGGATTTCTGACTGAAGGCTTTCCAACAAGCCTTACATGCATAAGGTTTCTCCCCTGTGTGGATTCTCTGATGTCTAATGAGGTTTGACATTTGAATGAAAGCTTTTCCACATTCATTACATTTATATGGTTTTTCCCCAGTATGAATTTTTTGATGTGTGATAAGATTTTCCTTTCTGCTGAAGGCTTTTGCACATTCCTTACATTCATAGGGTTTCTCTCCAGCATGAATTCGCTCATGTCTGATGAGGTCAAATTTATGACTAAAGTCTTGTCCACACTGGTTACACTTAAAGGGGGTGACAGCATGAGATGAGCAATGGTAAAATGGCTTCCCATACTTACTACATTCATAATTTTTCTCTCTTACACAGCCTTTCTCATAATTAAGTAAGTTGAAATTATATTCTAAGCCCTTATCAAATGAGTCACATTCATAGAAGCTTTGTCTTGAAGTAACAATGTCTGAGCTCAGAGGAAATATTTTTGTCATTTTTTTACATTCAATGATGTTTTCCTTAATCAGTGTTTTCTTAGAGATGGATGTGAATTTCTTCACAAGTATATCCTGTTGCTTCTTGATCTGTTGTTCACCAACTTCCCAAACTTCTAAAATGGAGAACCAAATGTTATTTCTTTTGTATTTTTCTACTATACTATTAATAATATTTCAGAAATTTGCTAATGTGGGGTAGACCTTTAATGCTGGCTCGAGTCCCCCAGTGTGAAAGAAATCCAAAGTGCAAATAAACCTGGTTTGATATGTTAACTCCTACAGGAAATATTATGAAAACTAACACCTTTAGGCCCAAATAGCTTTGACTGACTCTAAAATTATATTTATACAATGCAGAAATCAGTTAAAATAAATAGGATGATTAAGATGAAAGGGCAAATACTTAAGTGACTGGATGAGGGAGCAGGATGACTAGAACATGAAATTAATACTTGTGGTTAAATGAGGTGGATTGAATGTATCTATTTCTCCTCATCCCTAAAATTCCATTAAAAAATAAAATTCCAGGGTCTCCCGGGTGGTGCAGCGGTTGAGCGCTGGGTTGCGAAGCTGCCCGCAGCCTCTGCTGCGCCGGTTCGATCCCCGGCTGCTCCCCGGCCACCGGAGGAGGGTCCCAAATGGCGCGCAGACCTCTCCTGCCGCCCGCGGCTCCCCTCAGCAGTGTCCTTCGGTCCTTCTGCCTGCTCTGCTCCCCGCTCTGGCTCTGGTGAATTCTCTCACCCTCCCGTGCTTCTGACTGTACCCAGTGCTTGTATAAATAAATAAATCTTAAAAAATAAATAAATAAAATAAAAATAAATAAAATTCCAGTAAAAGAATAAAGGGTCAAATCCACAAGAAGAAAGGAAATAGGAGTGGAAAAAAGGGGAACAAGAAATTTTAATACAATTCTGGAAGACAAAACACATGCCAGGAACTGTTAACTGGTCACAGAACTAAGCTGGTAAAGTAAACGTACTATGAAAATGGCAATGTCAGATCTCCCTGATGGGGCTGGTGGTTAAAAATCTCATCTTTATCAAGCTCCTGTCAGCCACTGTAGCCTGAGTTCAATCCCTGGCCAGGGATTATTTAAAAAATTACTTGTTGGGCTTCCCAGGTGGCGCAGCGGTTGAGCGCTGGGTTGCGAAGCTGTCCGCCGCCTCTGCAGCGCCGGTTCGATCCCCGGCTGCTCCCCGGCCACCAGAGGAGGGTCCCACATGGCGTGCAGACCTCTCCTGCCGCCCGCTGCTCCCCTCAGCAGTGTACTTCGGTCCTTCTGCCTGCTCTGCTCCCTGCTCTGGCTCTGGTGAATTCTCTCACCCTCCCGCGCTTCTGACTGTACCCAGTGCATGTATAAACAAAACAAACAAACAAACAAACAAACAAATAAATAAATAAAACATGCCTCTATTAAAAAAAAAAATTACTTGTTGAAACATATACAAATGTATTTAAGGATAATATGTAAAAGAGTTCAGCAATAAAACACAAGTGGGGCCAGAGATAGCACAAGCAAGTCTGGCAAAATGTTGGTAACTACTGGAGCTAGGGATGACTATGGGCATACAGGCAAATGCATCAAGTTGCCCACAAGGGGAAACACTCAGCCATCGGCTATGTCCAACCTACTGTCAAAGCCTAAGAGATAGTAGAGGGCTGTCTAAAGCTTGCAAAGACTATCTAAAAAAACCCTTAGGAATGAAAGCATGTCTGAAATATTTTGTACACAGCCAACAGACAACCAACTCAAATGGTTAAATAGGCTATTTTCACAGCTCTCCTGCCCCCCTGTGACTATGCAGGTGCCTCTCTCTCTCTCTTTTTAAATTTTTTTTTTTTTATTTTTAAAGATTTATTTATTTATTGATGCAAGCACTGGGTACAGTCAGAAGCACGGGAGGGTGAGAGAATTCACCAGAGCCAGAGTGGGGAACAGAACAGGCGGACTAATGAAATACACTGCTGAGGGGAGCAGTGGGCGCGGCAGGAGAGTTCTGCTGCCCCATGTGGGACCCCCGCCTGTGGCTGGGGATCGAACTAGTGCTGCAGAGGCTGAGGGCAGCTTCGCAGGCCAGCGCTCAACCACTGTGCAGCCAGGGGAGACCCTCTATTTTTTTTTAATTTATTTATACATAAAAGCGCTCCGGTATAGGCCAGAGGTACGGGGCAGGGGAGGGGTTGAGAGGAATCACCAGGGACAGAATGGGGAACAGAACAGGTGGATCTACTGAAATACACTGCTGAGGGGAGCAGCGGGTGAGACAGGAGAGGTCTGCTGCGCCATGTGGGCAGCATCCTGGCTGGCCAGGCATCAAACTCGTGCTGTAGAGGCTGCAGATAGCTTCTCAGTGCTGTACTTAACCCCTTGGGCCACCAGTGAGGCATGTGCCTTTCTTTTTCTTTCTCCTTTTCCTAATAAACCTGTCCTTTTAAAATGCATTTTTGAAAGAAAAGGCTATTTTCTTAGGTGTAATACCTCAGGGACTCTGGTACCCCATGACAGTGGTCCTCTGTTTTGTACCCTGTTATTGACCTGTAAACTATTTTATTGTTATATCTATAAATGTGGTTTCTTTCCTTTTACATCTTTTTACTTGTTCATTGAAGCATATACAAAAGCCATCAATTTCTGTTTTTAAATTTGATATTCTACCATCTTACTGGATTCTCTTACTATTTGATGCACTTTTTCAGTTGATTCTCTTATGTTTTCCATGAATACAACCTTATTTATTTTATTTGTTTGTTTGTTTTGTTTATACATGCACTGGGTACAGTCAGAAGCACGGGAGGGTGAGAGAATTCACCAGAGCCAGAGTGGGGAGCAGAGCAGTCAGAGTGATGAAGTACACTGCTGAAGGGAGCAGCGGGCGGCAGGAGAGGTCTGCGTGCCATGTGGGACCCTCCTCCAGTGGCTGGGGAGCAGCCGGGGATCGAACCGGCGCTGCAGAGGCTGCAGGCAGCTTCGCAACCCAGCGCTCAACTGCTGCGCCACCGGGGAGGCCCCTATGAATATACTTTTATAGGTTCCTTTCCAATTCTTCAAGTATTGATTCTTTTTGTTTCATTTATTATTTAGTAAGAAATTTACAAAAATGATAAAGGAAAACTTGGAAGGTATTTCTGAAGGACAGAGAAGTAGGTAGATTTGAACAGAGTATGCTCCTGAATAAAAAATATTTAAAGACATCATAGCTCCAAAAGTTGAATTCTAACACATTTAGTTAACAGCTAACACATTGCATTACAAAGTCTGACAGGTTTTTCTATGGAAATGTGGAGCTAAATCTAAATTTCATATGGCAAAATAAACAATGAAGAATTGCCACCTTAACTGTGATCAAGAGGTGTAAGCAATTGGGGAAAGAAACAGACTGAGTGTTAAATATAAGAGGAGACTTACTTTTCATGTATCTTTTGGACTATTTATATTTTTTTTTTTTTTTTTTTTTAGAGGCATGTTTTTATTTATTTATTTAGTTTTTGTTTGTTTGTTTATACAAGCACTGGGTACAGTCAGAAGCGCAGGAGGGTGAGCGAATTCACCAGAGCCAGAGCAGGGAGCAGAGCAGGCAGAAGGACCGAAGTACACTGCTGAGGGGAGCAGCGGGCGGCAGGAGAGGTCTGCTCGCCATGTGGGACCCTCCTCCAGTGGCCGGGGAGCAGCCGGGGATTGAACCGGTGCCTCAGAGGCCGCGGGCAGCTTCGCAACCCAGCGCTCAACCGCTGCGCCACCGGGGAGGCCCAAGGACTATTTATATTTTTTAACGAAGTGTGTATACACCTGTTTTCTAAAAGTTAGAGGAATGGAAGATGGGAATAAAGAGGGAGGAGGCATTAATTTCACACCCAGAAACTTTTATAGCTACCTGGGATTGTTAAGACTGTGACAAGCAAAAGGAAGTATGCTATTATTATATTACAAGTCTGAGGGTTTTCAACATGGAAAGAAAGATAATAAGAGAAATCTAAATGTGAAACAAACATGCCTTAAAATACTAGAATTCTATGAAATATGGACTGCATAAGAAACAGCTGTGAAGACAGAAGAGAAATAGGTTAAGGATCAGAGAAGGATAATTATCTGGGAAGTTATGCTATAAATAAATTAAGGCAAGAGGCCTCCCTGGTGGCCAAGGGGTTAAGCACAGCACTGTGAAACTATCCACAGCCTCTGCAGCACAAGTTTGATACCCGGCCAGCCAGGAGCTACCCACATGGTGCAGCAGACCTCTCCTGACTCGCCCGCTGCTCCCCTCAGCAGTGTATTTCAGTCAGTCTGCCTGTTCCTCTCCCTACTCTGTCTCTAGTGAATCTTCTCACCCTCCACACCTTTGGCCTGTACCCCAGTTCTTTTTTTTTTTTTTAAGATTTATTTTTATTTATACAAGTACTGGGTACAGTCAGAAGCGTGGGAGGGTGAGAGAATTCACCAGAGCCAGAGCGGGGAGCAGAGCAGGCAGAAGTACCAAAGTACACTGCTGAGGGGAGCAGCGGGCAGCAGGAGAGGTCTGCGCGCCATGTGGGACCCTCCTCCGTTGGCCGGGGAGCAGCTGGGGATTGAACCGGCGCTGCAGAGGCTGCGGGCAGCTTCGCAACCCAGCGCGCAACCGCTGCGCCACTGGGGAGGTCCTGTACCCCAGTTCTTATATGCATAAATAAGTCAATCTTAAAAAAAATAAATTAAGGAAAGGCTGGTATCCTGAAATCAGAGGGGCTGCTGGCCCTCAAAAAATTGAAAAAGCAAAAAAGTGCCAATGCAGAAAGGATAGTTTCTGGAAGTGTCATAGTCATCCACTCTAGCAGGGTAGAGCCTTTTTTTTTTTTTTTTTTTTTTTTAAAAAAAAAGATTTATTTATTTATACATACAAGTACTGGGGTATAGGCTAGAGGGGCAGGGGGTGAGCGGACTCACCAGAGACAGAATGGGGAACAGAACAGGCAGATGTACTGAGATACATTGTTGCAGGGAGCCAGCTGGCGAGTTAGGAGAGGTCTACTGTGCAATGTGGGTCACATCCCTGGCTGGGGATGGAATTCGTGTGCAGTAGCTGCAGACAGCTCTGCAGGTTACACCCTAACCCCTTGTGTCACCAGGGAGGAGCAACAGGGTAGAACCTTTAAGAAAGCCTTAGAAAATATCAAATGGTCTCTACCCCTGAACGAATGTCATGGGGCTGCCTCATTCAGAGGTGTCTTTTTACTCATTCACCTGGACAATGTCTCCCAAACATTTCGTCCTGTGCCACCCATGGCTCCTCTTCCTGTTCCAACTTGAAGATCACGTCTGGTTTGGTGACTTGACAGCCTATTATAGGAAACAGCAAAGGATTTGAATGTTACTGCTAGAGACAACCATCCAGATTGTGGGCTGAGTCCCGGGAACTTGAGGGCGTATGAAGCATGATGATGGAGAAGCTTCCATAGTGAGAGAATGTAATTAACCCTTACCCCAAAGATGAGCATATGCAATGGTGTAAAGAAAGGCAAGGCCAGACTAATCTGAAAGTCTTCACATAGCTTAAAATCAGAACGAACTCTATGCATTAACTGCAAAGTCGCCCTTACCCACGATGACTAGGTTGCTATAGTTCTCCAGCATCACATCCCGGTACAGATTTCTCTGAGCAGGTTTCATCTGCTGCCATTCTTCCTGGGTGATGTCCACAGCAACATCCTTAAATGTCACTATTCCCTGTAAAAACACAACCCTAATTAATTTGAAATAAAAACTAGATGTTAGAGTCTAAATATATAAGAACTCTTTTAGCTAGTAACTAGAGATCAGAGTTCATTAAACACTGTGTATCAAGTGTTTGGTTTTTTTTTTTTAATTTTTTTTAAAGATTTATTTATTTATATAAGCACAGGGTACAGTCAGAAGCACGGGAGGGTAGGAGAATTCACCAGAGCCAGAGCAGGGAGAACAGGCAGATGGACTGAAATACACTGAGGGGAGCAGTGGGCGCAGCAGGAGAGGTCTGCGCGCCATGTGGGACCCTTGCTGGCAGCCGGGGATCCAACTGGTGCTGCAGAGGCTGTGGGCAGCTTCGCAGCTCAGCGCTCAACCACTGTGCCACCAGGCCCTGTATCAAGTCTTGTGTGTGTGTGTGTGTGTGTGTGTGTGTGTAAAGAACTGGGGTGGGGACCTACCTGGTGGCGCAGGGGGTTAAGCACTGCAATATGAAGCAATCCGTAGCCTCTGCAGCCTGAGTTCGATCTCTAGCCGGTCAGGGAGCAACCCACATAGCAAAGCAGACCTCTCCTGTCTTGCCCGCTGCTCCCCTCAGCAGTGTGTTTCAATCAGTCTGACTGTTCTGTTCCCCACTGTCTCTGGTGATCCTCTCACCCCCTGCATCTCTGGCCTGTACCCCAGCTCTTGTATGCATAAATAAATAAATCTTTTAAAAAAAAGAACTGGGGTGTAGGCCAGAGATGTGCAGAGGGATGAGAGTATTCACCAGAGACAGAGTAGGGAGCAGAACAGAAAGATCTACTGAAATACACTGCTGAGGGGAGCAGTACGCGAGATAGGAGAGGTCTGCTGCGCCATGTGGGTCAGCTCCAGGGCCAGGGATCAAACTCAGGCTGTCGTGGTGATGGTGCTGAGACTTAACTCCTAAGACACCAGAGAGGTCTCAAGTCTTCATATTTTTCTAACTTCGTATTATAGTGTAGGGGAAAATACACCACAGAAATATCCGTTAAGTGTATGTTGATTTCTGAGTCATAAAACTTAGGAATTTATCATCTTGATAGATAATAATTGCAGGCAGCTGGGTGTGGTGGTCACTGACTTATACCGGGCTGTGACAGATGGAAAGTTAGACATGACTCCCATTAACTAACTCAGTTATTGTGTGTTCTAGTGAGAAAGGGAACAAGGAGAAAGTGGGGAAGAAAGAGAAGTAGGACAGGGAGGAGAGGTATAAAAACCTGAATGTGCAAAATCTGAAGTTTCTCTAGCACTTCCAAAGAGAATATCCACTATGTAGTTGAAAATGAAAGGAGTGAGAATTTGTCATCAAATCTGTCTGAAAAGGAAATAAAAGGCACCCAGAGTAGAAAGGAGAGAAAGCTGCCTGCATTTGCAGATGGCATGATTTTGTACAAAGTAAATCTAAGGTTTCAGTAAAATTCAGTGAGATCTAACAAATAACTTCAGCAAGATTGCAGGATATAAGACAAATTTTAAAAATCCAATTGTATTTCAAGACACTTGCAGGGAACAATCAAAGATCTAAATGTCTGGGCTATAAAAGTCTTAGAAGAAAACATAGGTGTAGGCGCCTCTGGGTTGACGAACATGTGGAGGTGCTGGGAGAGTGGTCATATCGTCTTCTTCCTTGACAAGGCCAGAGTCCTGAGAATTCCAAGCTAAGGGAAGAGAAAGGAAACAGATTTACTTCAGAGCTCCAGGCAAAGGCATATGGAAATCTTCACTACCATTTGGTTATATGTTCCCTTAGAATGATCCTCAGAGCACTGAGAAATGTGAACCACTGAAATGGACACAAATGACTATTCAGACATGGGGTCTGATGGGTGTTTCTGGAGGCCATGTGCAGAATGCCCAGTGTATCTACTGACAATACAGCATCTTCCTAGGATCCTGCTATTTTATTTCTAATAGGAAATTTATCTTAAGAACATAATAATAAATATCACAAGGATTTAAGAGTTAAATCATTTATGAAACAGTATAAAGAATTTGGAAAAGACTTTAATCATGATTCTAATGACATTTTAGAATAAATTAACCAATTTCTTTTTTACCTTAAAAAACTCAGGAGCTATAGATTAAAAAAGGGAGACTGAATATTTGCATTTATTTTTGTTCTTTCCTAAACTCAACCAAAGTGAAGGTAAAGGGATAGAGGAGGTCAAGCAGCACAGGACAAAGAGGACAGAAGACTACAGAGATAAAATGTCAACAAATGCTTGGAGGCTGGAGACCACATAGGTGACTGGAATCTAACCAGGGAAAGCTGAAGCGAAAGTGGGGGATAGGAGGAGTGCAGGCTGGAGAAACCATGACAGAAAGGCTCAAGGATGGAGGCACTAGGTACTACTGCAGGCAGAGGTTTGGGGTGCAGCTGAAAACAGAGACCTCTTAGGTGGGGTTGAAGCATGTAGAGAAAATAAGGAAATGAAGTGAAAGATGTTATAGGAAAAGCAAAGTTCTTTTTCCCCATTTCTTCCTTTGTTTGCTTCTCAAAAGCAAGAGTTTTAGCAAAGTCTAGGACTTTTCCCTGGGAAGGTGACTAGTCCAAAAGAAAATGCAGACAGATCTTGCTTTTGTCCAAACTCAACTTCCAACAAAATACCAATTTGAAAGAAGTCAAGAAGAGTGGGTGGGGTGTGGCGGTGAGGTGATGGTGAGGAAGCGAAGAAAACATACAAATCAGGTAGAAAACATACAAATCCTTATCTCCATTGTCAAAAATCAATACAAAATAAGACAACTAAGAAAGCCAGCACTAGCAGGATGAGCATATTATTCTGAGAAGTGGTGCCAAAGACCAAAATACCAGTAAAACAGTGTTCAAAGTGTTTGCTTTTGGGGAGTGGGAACAGGATGCGAAGGGACAGTACAGGAAACTTTAATTTATGGTTATATACTTAACAGCACTTTAAAAATCTAGATGTATTTAGAAAAAATGAAACTACCTTTTTTCTTTTTTAAGGTATATTTTTATTTATTTATGCATAGAACTGGGGTGTAGGTCAGAGGTGCGAGGACGCATAGAGGTAGAGTGGGGAGCAGAATAGGCGGTTGGATCTACTGAAATGCACTGCTGAGGGGAGCAGCCGTGGAGACAGGAGAGGTCTGGGGCCTTATACGGGTCAGCTCCCTGGCTGGGGATCGAACTCATCTGGCAGGAACTCAATGGGCAGTGGCTCCGGACAGTGGGATAGTGCTGACTTTAACCCCTGCGCCACCAGGGAGGACCTAAAATGAAACTACCTTAAAATTTATTTAGAGGAAAGCAAACAATAGTCACGTGAATAAAATAAAAAACAAATGTCTACTCTCTATAGCCAATAACACCCATGTGAACTTTCTGAGTAGGGGTAATGAACTTCCTAACTCTCTTTACTCCCTGGCCCTGAATGTACAGCCTCCATCTTCTAAGTTCTGCCCACCTGTGAGCCATCTCACCTCTTCTTTCCATCATCTGGGTTAAATGTTCCATTGTCACACAGTCAGCGCTGATCTCTGACAACCGTGATGTCATTCAGGCCTTGCCTGCTCTGGTTGAAAGGGTAAAGAGGGGCTGTGGGTTGAACAATTCCAGGGGACACTTTGTCTTGGATTCTTCAGCCTCCAGGAGAGGCTAGGTCAGGAGGTCTTCTTCCATGCTAGATACTTGCTTTTCAGGATTCTTTTCCACTCACATCACAGACCTGGCTTTGTAGACCAAGGACCTGTGGGTTTATGACATAAGTCCAATTTATCTCACGTTTTCTCACTAGAATCTTATGGTAACCAGCCCCAATAATCACTGCTTTCTGATCTTCAAGATTTTTGTTCACTCCTTCCACATGGAATAGAGTTGACCTGTAAAATCAACAGGATATTGCAGAAATGGAGTGTGACTTCCAAGGTTAGGTCATAAAAGAGACTGTGGCTTTTGTGTTGTGCGTTTCTGCATCATGGACTTTGAGGGAAGTCAGCTGCCGTGCAGTGAAGACACCTAACCAGGGAGGCTCCTGCTGGCAGCCAACACTAACTTGCTCGCCACCTTGGAAGCAAGTCGTCCAGCTCCAGTCTAGCCTTTAGATGATGAAGCCCTGTTGACAGCTTGGCTGCAAGTTCATGAAATATCTGAGCCAGATTACCCAGCTAAGTAACACCCTGTTTCCACATAAACTGTGATATTATATTTATTATGGTTTAATCCACTAAATGTTGCGTTTATCTGTTAAACAGAAAGAGATAACTAACACAATTTCAAACCATTAGCTTCCTTGCTTGTAATTCACTCCCTAGAATCATGGACCAGCAATGCTGGATGCAGAGAGAGCAGGCGTCCGGAGGAAAACTCAAATACTTTCTGTGGTCATAAAGGTATAGGCCAAACACAGTGACAGGCAAAGCTGAGCCAAAAAACAAAACAACACTCAAATTTATAGCGACCCCAGTGGTACAATAAAAGATAGTTGCATGAGAAGTCAAGCTGTTCACTTCCTACCTATCTTGGCAATTGAGCTTAAACAGAATTGCAGTTAGCATTCCAATGCTCTTCACTTGAGATGAGAATTATACCCATGTCATTAATATTGGCTGAATGAATAAAATGGCTATTAAGAAATGTTAATTTAGCATCAGTTAGCAGCATTTACTAGGTAAAGGTTATAAAATAATATACAGAGAGTAGACTAATCCTTACCTTATATAATAAAGATAATTAAACGTGCAGTCATAATAAATTTTCCAACGTGCTGTACTTGGGATATATCCCCAATATCTCTCATATGATTTATATTTTTCCCCCATGGCAAGTGTCACTAAAACACTGTATAATTTATCATAAATATCCTCTGTCCAACCACTCAAATGAATTCCATGAAAACTGAGATTTTTTTTCCTAATTGTTTTTGCCACTGATAATAGGTGCTCAAAAAATGTCGATCGACTGGTATAGTCACTATGAAAAACAGCATGATGGTCAAAAAAGGAAAAAGTAGGGCCTCCCTGGTGACACAGGGGATTAAGACGCAGCACTGTTTCTGTTAGTATTATCACCTTAAGGTTCATTCATGGTGTCAGAGATGGCGGGATTTCCTTCTTAAGGCTAATATTCCATTTATGTATATAACATATATTCTTTACCCAGTTATCTGTTGATGGATGGATGCTTCCATTACTTGGTTACTGTGAATAATGCTGCAGCCAACACAGAGTGCAGGTATTAAGATTGTAAATTTTATAAGTTATCTATATTTTACCATAAATACATACATATACATATGAACTACCATTACTAATTTGGGGCATTTAAAATTAGAAAAAAGTAATATATCAGATAAGAATAACCCAGAAATGTGTGGGTAGTTTGGAGTTTAAGTGTTCTAAAGTCTTAAATTTTGTTCAGTATGCATGTTGCAGGATAAGAATAGAACTAAAGCAGTGCAGAGAAAAAGGGAAAGGCAAACCTTCACAATAAAAAAGGTGTAATAAATAGAAAATAAAACATTCTATCAGCAATCACAATAAATGTAAATAAATGAAACTTACCTATTAAAATAATAAACAGTCTGGGGGGTGGGGATGTCCAGCGTATCCTGTTTAAAAGCGACAGACCTGCAGCATAAAGATATAAAGGGAAGGGATTAGAAAAAGACATTCCTGGAAATACAATAACAAAACCTGAAAAGCAGTATTATCAGACAAAAGAGAACTTGGACTAAAAAGCATTTATCAGGATAAAGAAGCATGTTTCACAATGTGGTAGGTAGGCTTATACATTCATATTCTTTGCCTTGTAACTTTGACCATCCTATCGTGGGCTTACCTGATGTTAAGCTTAGTCATGTGAGCTGCTTTGGCTCATGTGATGTTAATATATTTGGGAGCAGACTTTTAGGGATGTTTTATGATCTGTTTTGTGCTCTGGTGATCCACCATTAGAAAACAAGTCCTAGTAACTACTGTCCTTTTAGTCTGAACCACAGAAAGAACACATGTGGAGAAGATCTGCAGCCTGGCCTAAGTCAACAGAACACAGTCAACATGCAAATCTGTGACCATGAGAATAAATGCTTGTTGTGGCATACCACTGAGTTTAGGGGAGACTTGTTCGGCAGCATTAATGATCATGACCATAACGAACTAGTACATATAATAAGAGAAGCAAACCATAAGATTTTGAGATAATGGATCTGGTAAAGATCACCAAGGAAAACTGAAAAGCAACGGAACAGAGTCAAGAACTGCTAGGGGTGAGGGGGAGGGAGCAAAGGAGACTAAGAAGGGGTGGCCAGAGGGGAAAGAGGGTCACTTAAAACCAAACACAGAGTTACCAACTACACCAAAAGCTACACAGAAGTCGACTCGATTAAGATTAGAATCACGATACATATGACGATCACAAACACCTCACCACCCATCTCTCAGGACGAGCACCCAGAAAGCACCACAGGGCTCAACACACTCGCACCACGGACATCAGGATCGCACATCCCACCACAATTACTCCACACACAACCACACCCCCCAACACTCACACACACCAGGACCACAGCTACAGGATCACCCCCCTTCCCCCACCCCCCGCCCCAGGTCATAAATCTCACACACACACACACACTCACACTCCAACCCTCTCTGCGGGGCGTACTCCGCGGCCAGCCCTCCACACCGCGGCGACCCGGGACCCCCCAGGCTCCGCGGAGGCTCCGCCCGCACAGCGCGAGCCCTCCCCACGCCGCGTGGCGGCAGCGTCACCTGCCGGAAACTCCCAAAGGCGCCTTCAGCGCACTTCTCAGGGGGGCTGGGGTAAGGCTATAGGCAGGAAAGCCCAGGCCGGGCGCGGGTGTCTCGGAACCATCCCTCCGCGCCCGCCTCCCGACGGACACTCCCAGGCGCCGCACCGCCTCCCAGAAGGCTCCGCGGCCGGGGTCCACTTCCGGCCCCCACTTCCGTCCTGAGCTCCGTTCGCGTTAGCAGCGTGGAGGTGGGGATGGGCCGAGTGGGTGCCGAAGGCTCGACCCGGACGCCCGGGGCTGCGGGGACTCACCCCTCGGCGACCCGGCTTGACGCTGAGAGTTGCCGGAGCGGTGGTTTCGGGTGGGCGCGAGCGGGGCTCTGAGGGGACGCGGCCGTGGCTCCTGCAGGGACTACATTTCCCAGAGGGCCAGTGGCTCCGCGCTCTTCTCGCGAGAACTCGTGCGTTTCGTCAGCACTGGCGGGACCGTTAGATTCGCGAGGTGAGAGATCGTGGGTCCCCGAGGAGGTACCCCGGGAAGCCCGAGGCTGAGGAGGCCGGAGCCCAGACGCAGCTGGCTCCCGGGTCTGGGCGGGTGGAGCAGCATGAAGAGGGGAGGCGCTGTGAGGGGCTGTGAGAGGCGGAGACGCTGCGACCCGGGTGCGGACACGGGTGCGGGCTGTGACTGGGCGTCCCGTGCGGTTTGGTGATGGCTCTGCGACACTGGGGGGCGTTTGCGACCGTGTGTCCGTGGTGGGGGTGTGAGTTTCACCCTGTAACTAACTGTAACTGTGTGCGGGTGTGGAGTTCGTGTCCCCTGGTTTAAGTCTGATTGTGCCCGACTGTGTATAGATGGAGTGTGGGGCTTCTGCCGCTTCGTGCGATCGTGACTCCAGGACTTGGTCCCTAGGAAATCTCTCTGAGATTTGGTCAAATTATAGCCCTCAGGCACGGGGTGGTGGCTTGATGCGCTGTTTTCCGCTGATCTCCAGTCCCTGTGTTTGTGGCGGGGCGGGAGTCAGGGGGTGGGGCGTGCATGGTTGGGGCTGGGTCCTCTGAGCAACAAAGAAAATCTGGTCACACGATTATTTTCTCTTCTCCCAGTTCTGTCCTGCGGGTGAGGTCTCCAGAAGAGAAGGGAAGAGTGCATGATCAATTTCTGCAAGCAATGATCAAGGTGTGTTGGGATTTCTTCTTTGCTTACCTTCTGCTGACAGTTTTTGCTTGATAACGATATGTCATGTGACAGCAGAATGGTGGTTACCAGATGGGAAGGAGAGGGAAGGGAATGCGTAGGATTGCTTAGTGGTGGATGATGATTGGGCATTTGGTGGCGGGTTTGGTGAGAAAATGCATTTCCTGGAGGGTCTCCCTGGTGGTGCAAGGGGTTAAGTCTCAGCACTATGTAGCTATCAGCAGCCACTGCTGCTCCTGTTTTGCTCTCCACTCTGCTGCCTACTCTGTTCTGCTCCCCACTCTCCTGCCTACTCTGTTCTGCTCCCCACTCTGTCTCTGGTGAATCCTCTCACCCTCTGCGTGTCTGGCCTGCACCCCAGCTCTCGTATGCATAAATAAATGAAATAAATCTTTAAAAAAAAAAGTACTTTCTGAAATCTATACAGTGTTGTAAACTGATGTTCATGCAATTAAACGTGTGTGGGCCTCCCCGGTGGTGCAGCTGGTTGAGTGCAATGTTATGAAGCTGTCTGCAGCCTTTGTAGCACCAGTTCGATTCCTGGCTGGCTGGCCAGGGAGCTCCTCACATGGTGCGGCAGACCTCTGCTATTTCGCCTGCTGCTCCCCTCAGCAGTGTTTTCAGTCAGTCTGCCTGTTCTGCTCCCCACTCTGTCTCTGGTGAATCCTCTCACCCTCCCTTGTATCTGGCCTATACCCCAGTTCTGTATAAATAAATAAATCTTTAAAAAATAAAAAAGTGCGTGTGTGTGTGTGTGTGTGTGTGTGTGTGTGTGTATATCATTAGATTATAGTTTCCTGTAATTTGTCCGTTGGAGAAAAGGATAGTCCAGCCTGGTATTAAAGCCCTATTTCTCCCCCACCATATCTGATGTTTATTTATTTGGCAGATAGCTCCACTTCTGTTTGCTGATTTTTCTCATTTTTTAAATGCAATATTACCATTTTAAAAGCATGATGATTCTAAAGAGTTCAGAAAAACAAAATTACCAAGAAAAATAACTAATATTGATATTTTGATGTATTTTTATTATTTTTCCAAAGTTAAATCACTCTTTGTTTCATTTTTATACTGTCCATTTTTGCTAAAAAAGGTCATTCTCTCATGTTATCAAATGACCTTTGACATCAATTTTTCAGACATGTTTTGCATGAATGAGTTATGGTTTATATTTTTCTTCACATCAATTGTGTCAGACTTTGAAATCCATAAATGTTATACACATAAGTACATTTGGATTTTCATGATTTAGTAATGAGATTCAACATCTTTTCATATGTTTATTATTAGGGGTACTTTTGTGACATGCCTGTTCAAATCTTTTACCCATTTTGTTCTTACATTGTCTGTTACTGACTCATAGTCTATAATCATATGTGTGCTGTAAACTTTGAAAAGTTTCAATTTTTTATAATAGGTTTGTATATATTTTATGGTAGTAAGTTGTAAAACAGTATTACCTCCCTGTATTTTATGCATTTGTGAAATACCTAACTTAAAAATTTTTTTCAATATTTCAAGAGTACATCATTTATCTGCAAGTTTTCTCAAATTGTTGCAAATCATAAAAACGTTTCCAGTATATAAAAAAAAAAAATCCACGTACAGGTGGACTGCACAGTTCAGACCCATGTTGTTCAAGGATCAACTAATATTACTAGCTTGGTCTGGACCTAGAATTCTATGGCAGAATTCATTTTCCTTTGTATATTAAAGGAATCACTTTATTTTCTTATTTCAAATAGTGCTGTTGAGAAGGATATTGCTATTCTGATTCCTAAGAATTTCATGTGATACGTGTTTTCATCCTGGGAGCTGTTGGAAAGTTGTTTTTTCCTTGATATTCTATAGTTCTACTCCAAAATATATCGAAAGATGTTTTTTAAAGTCTCATATTTTTCCTTTCTTGGGACTTAAAGGGTAATGAAAAGGGGAAAGAGCTCATAGTCATGTAGACTTTACTGTGGCCAGGCATTGCGATATATGCTTGCTTTTGCTGTTTCATCTTGTTGGAAAAGTCTCTGTTGCGCAGTCCTGTGCGTGCTCAGTACACAGGGTTCGTCTTCTGCTGACATGACAGGGTTCCGCCCTTTCAGTTTGCTTCGTGATTTCTGTCCTTTTTTGTAGAGCCCTCTACCGGTCTCCTCTACTACCATCTCTTTCCCCTCTCCTTCCGTTGTGAAAGCATGTTTGTCGTTTCAGGGGTCAATGATGTTCAGGGATGTGTCTGTGAACTTCTCTCAGGAGGAATGGGAGTGCCTGGACTCTGGTCAGATGAATTTATACAGAGAAGTGATATTGGAGAATTTCAGCAACCTGGTTTCCGTGGGTAAGGATAACTGTCCTCCCTAATTCAGAATTTTCCCTCGGAAATGTCTCCTATCTTCATGGTGAATTACTTGTCTCAAGTAACAGCTAGCTGTTCCCAAGGAATGATTTGAGTTGGAAGGAAAGGAGTGAGAGTGGGCAGCTCCAGGTGGTTGTGGCCCAAGTCTCATCTTCATCTCTCTCTGGTCCTTCCCAGGGTGGCACATCTTGATCTGTAAGCGACTAGATCTGCTGTCTGGGATTCTCACAGCATAACCATGTCCCATGTCTTTTCTTGTCAGCAGAACTTTCCTATTCTAAACCAGCCGTGATCTCCTTATTGAAACAGGGAAAAGAGCCCTGGATGGTTGGCAGAGAGCTGACAAGAGGCCTGTGTTCAGGTAAGTGAGAGGTGACAGGGCAGAAGCAAAACCCTGAGAAGGTATCATTTACAAGATGTTGTCAGGAAGCTTTCCCAAAAGACCCAAGGCTGCAGCTTTATAAGCTATCTTGCTTTTTTCTCTCCTATTTTCTTCTCAGTTCTATGTAGCAAGTATACGCCCTCTTCATTTCCAGTGTAGTTATTCTCCCTATATTTTAGATTTCACCCCTTCATAGTATCTGCTGCATTTAGATTTGTGTACCTATTGTAACTATTCCCACCCTAGAAAAGAGAGAGGGGGAGAGAGAGAGAATTTTCTCTTCCTGTACTAGTTGGTTTTATCTACTTTCCAATTATTTGGTAACTTCGTTAACCAATTTTGCTTGGATTTAGCAATTTATTCTTTGATCCAGCAAGCATTTGATTCATTTTTCCTTTTTAAAATTCAAATACAACCCACATAGATAGCTAAATAATTACAGTTGTATGATTTGATGAATTGTGCAAATGAATGTATCCATGTAACTATCACTGCAGGCAATTAGGAAATGATTACCACCCACGGTCCCCTTCTCTGCCCATTCCCAATCATTAGCCTCTTTGTTTTTCCCACAAATAAATACCATCTAGACTTCTAGTTCTTGCTCAGTGTTCTGTTTGCCATACATCTTGGTACTGCACATAGTTGATATTCATTCTTATTGGTTTGTTGTATTCCATTCTGTTGGTATGTTGTGTATTATATATTATTTATTATTACAAATTAAGTGTCCTTTCTACTATTGACAGTTGACTGGTTTTCCAGGTTTTAGCTATTACACATAGTACTGTGGTGAACATTCTTGTACATATATTTTGGTACACGTATGTACACATTTCTTTGGGATATATAATTAAGA